TATATATATATATTTATATCTAAACAAATGATACGAAAGTATACATATAACCTTTAGTACTCAAATTTCTTCTACTGAAAGTATTATAGTAACTTTGTTGATGTTGCAATGTTGCCATTATTGTATTTGCTAATGATTTATAAGAGTATACCTAACGTCCTCTTAACTGTTGCTAATTCAGATCTAGTTGCAATTAACTCTCGTTCTAATCTATCCCTTTCCTTGTTAGAAGCTTCCAATCGTTTAACTTTTTCCTCCAATTGATATTCCATTTGGACAATTTCACGAACCTTGTCTTGAAGTTCTAAGATCTTCTTTTGCTTCTCTTGCACTTCCTTTTTTTTACAATCCAATTGCATTTCCAATTCCATTTTTTCTTTAGAATATTTATTTGACTGCAATAATTGATGTTTAGGATATTTGAATTCAAGGAAGGACCCTTCTAAAGTTTGTTTGAACAAATGCTTGTTCTCCGACTTGGGAGACTTTTCTGAATCCATTTGATCCCCTGTTACAAATAATTACTTATTTAACTCCTAGGTTACTATCGGCGTCTATAATCACTTACAGAAAAAAAAACGGAAATTTTTCGTTTGTGAAATTGACAACCCCATATACTATCAAAACAATTACCTAAATTTTTCTTAGACTCTATCAAATCAGCATTTTTTAAATCTAACAATTCCTGTTTTAATTGACTAGTCTCTTTATCTAATTTGTCTAATTTGCTCCTATGCATCCAATTATCTTGTCCATTATTACATGAATTAGAAGATGATTTAAATTTGTCATCTGTCTTATCACTGGATGCTAACATCTTTGTACTCTATGGATAGCAATTACAAACAATATTATTAAAAACTTACTCTAAATATCGATCAGAATGTAACAACAAGTTTCAAATCCAATTAATTAAATATTATTAACATACTGTATTTTAAATATTTCTCCTTTGAAATAGTTTCATTTATTACTGTTGTTCTTCATAAGTTTGAACTAATGTATTTCCCATTAAAAGAAATATTTGTTGTCTTTTTCTTAGAGATATCCATGTGCACTATTAATATCATAATACAATCACTAAAGAATGTATTTAATTTTTATTATAGACAATTTGGTAACGTATATTACTCCTCATTCAAATAAATAAACGATGATCTTTTGTCAGATTTATATTATTACATAATGAACATATTATTTATATGAGAAAATAACGATTAGATTGTATTAAACTACAATTAAAATCGTACAACGAAATTATTACAATTCTTCATTTATAAATTCACTGCAACTTTCAACAATACACTATTCATAACGGTCGCGCTTCGAACTCCATGTTGTTAATATTCAAATTTATCTTTTAAATGCACTACAATGATTCGTCGCAGACAACATGTGTCTTAATCTGAATAACCAATAAAAACTCAGATATAAATGTATTAAGTTACCTTTCCATTTAAACTTCTTCGCCACTTCTTTGACAATTGAGAGAGAACATTAACGTAGTAATGAAAACCGGCTCAAAAAATGGCGGGTAGAAGAAGTTCACTGATTGGTGAACATTTTTTTCATTAAGTTCAACAATTTTCGAAATAAGACTAAATGGGATATTATCAAATCCCAAATTCTAATAATTGGACATATTGAAAAATTATTAAAGTACTGATATACACGTGAAAATTGATGTAAGTTGTATACAGTATATTTTAATGCATGGAAGATTCTTATAAAAAAACTAAATATCAATTATCTCTTTTTTTATTTTTTAATATGTGTGAAGAAGTCATCATAACAAAGGACAGTGAATCAAGATTGAGAATAGTGTAAACAGGAAAGAAATATTTAATGCATAAAATAATGTCAACGTTAATTAGTTTTACGCAATATAAATAATTAAGTAGGATAATTTGGTAAAATATGGAATTGATTACGATAGAGTTAAGACCACGACTTCAATCATGTACAGTTTTTCTTTTTATGAAAAATTCCATAACTTTAGATGAAATTAAAATCAAATTGTTGGAAGCAAATATTATGTTGTCGATAGGTGATAATGTAACATATATTACATTACCAAATATAAAAATTATACCAACATCATTATCTTCCTTAAATGTAATAGATAAGTGGGTATGTTTTCGTTTACATACACAACCATCAGATTCTGAATTTGGATCATTTCAAAGAGAGGTTATAACGAATGCAAAATCACAAATTAATAATATAGAAAGTAAGAAAAAGATATTATTAAAAAATTCGAAATCTACGATATTGTGTAAATGTTGTAAGAACGTACTTTCTAAAGAGATTACTTTTCAAAGAGTTTTACCATTTCCTAACATTGATTTTGATCCATCCGAATGGTTTTGTAGTAAAACAGATATTAATTTAACTTTGCTGTTGCTTCCCAATGAATTGGATATTTTTTACGGTCCATTTTTTGCAATTGTACATAGTAATATTTTGTATAATTATAGACGAATGGAAAAAGATATTTTATGTAACAGATGTTTGTTGAACATAGGAATTCAGGACAAAAATAATTCTTTTAAAATATGGGATTGTTGCATCGATTATAACTTGAAGACCGATCAAATAATTATCCAAGAAGCATCCAATCCCCTTGACGATTTTATTGCAGTTATTAAAAGTTTCATTAGAAATAATACGTTTGGCGAAATTATTCTAGAATGTTTATTAGCTAAACAATCTCATTACATGGTAATTAAACCGATGGATATGCGATTAGGAATACTTACAGAAGAAAATGTCAAATCTACCGATAATAAGATTAATTTAAAAGAAAGTTTTGTTACCAAAGTATTGTACAAATATAGTACAGATAAAATAATTTTATCTGAGGATTGTATTAACACAAAAAATTATGAAGTTAGTTTGTCCATGATCGAAGCTGGATTAGATTATTTATTACTATCGACTAAACGTTTTCCAAAACATTATAAAACTATCAAGGATTATTATATTGGTTATATAAATATAGAATAAACTGATTAATAATTTCTGAAATTTTACTTATTTGATTTTTTCAAATAAAAAATAAATTTCAAAGTTTATTAAGTACACCCTGTATGTATATATATATATTATTTTTTTCTGAACAAATTATTAACATTTTATTGAATCATCGATTTACAATTTTCTTAACATAACTTATTTCTACTAACTATGCTACTAGGCTGTAATGTACAGTATTTTTATAATTCCCTATATTCTCTGGCACTATATTTTTAATTTTATTTTCAAGTATAATATCGCTGCCTTACATACACAATAGCTCTAGAAAAATAAATATAAATTATATCAGTATATAATTTATATCAATTTTTGTTTAAGTGCCTATTATTCACCAAATCAAATGTGGTGCGAGAAAAAAACAAATAGTAAGAGACAAAGCATTCGTGTAAAATATTATTGTATATATGTAAATAATATATATATATTATATATAATTAAAGTGCATGTAGGTAATTGTCACTTTCTCTCATTTATATTCTATTGATTTACATATGTATATGTATAATTTTATAAACATGGAGAAAAATAATATCGATAATGCTGATAAAACTATTTTCATAACATAGAAGGTAAACATACATTCTGTTCTGCTACTCTTATATTATTAACACTTTTAATCGTATTGGATGCAACCAATATACCTATGAGTTATTTAAAAACTTGAAAATCATATAGTCCGTACTTAAAACATTATTTTTGTATTAGTTTTTACGAAAATTATTAATCGTGTGATTCATAAGTGTTCATTTTATTGATATCATTCTAATTACAACTGGTGTTGTACTATTAGCAAACAATTAAATAAATTATATATTTAAAAAATGCTAATTTGAAGACTCATATATGAATCCTTTCGTTACTAGCGACCCATATATGGGGCGTCCATGCAAAAGCCCCATATGAACCATCGACCGACCCATATACGGATCATCCATGTACGAACGAATTTATATGGAACAATACTCGCACCAAAACATGCCGTAACGAAAGTATTAAAAATAATCATTCAAAATACTTTCAGAAATTGAATAATCTTTGGTTGCATATCATACTGTAAATTACTTCAACCTAAAATTATTTCCACAATAGTAAAGTATATTATTTAAGTAATTATTAATAGTATAGATTATTGCAAAATGATACATATATAACTTGAGAATAAATGAAATCTTATTCATAAATAAGTTACAGTTTATGTACTACAATTATTCTTTCATTTTTCATGAACGTTACGTACATAATGCAGTATTTATGAAGCATTGAAATTTATTGTATGCGCTATCACTGATAGTATTTCTACAAAAATAAGTCTTTAAGACTAACGTTTAATTACAATTAATATAAATAATTTCAATTTCTTCTATCCACACCATTTTGTTTGTATAATAAAAGCTTGAATATAGAAATTATAAAGGTCAATTAAAATAAAGTAAATAGTCTTAACTCCTTGTTCTAGTTATAGAAAATCTTGTGATAACATAATTGTATAATATTTTGGACATTAACGTCGCTAAATAAGATTGTATTGACTATAATCTTCTGCTTTAATGATTTAGGCCACGAACATCATACTATACTGCAATACTTACATTTTCATTTAATTATTAAGCATTATATGCGGCTATGTTGTACTTGTTTCATTGCGAGAAACGTGTAATCTTTCAGATAATGGCATAGTATAGGCCCAACCATTGTCTCTAATCTCTTTAAAAAGCTATAAAATAAAAAATAACAATTGTATAGTTAATAAATATTATTACATTAATTGAATGATAGTTCTTCATGACGTATACAAATATTATATTTACTTTGGTCTGCCATATTTCATTATTCTCTTTGCGTAGGCGGGCCTCATCTCGTTGTTTTTGTTCGATAGCATACTTTGCAGCTGTGGCCTTATCCATATCATTAATACGTAAACCCATTGTTACTTCTCGCCACACTTTTCGTGATTCGCATTCTTCCTGCTCGCATATTGGTTTAACTAATTTTTTCTCTATCGGAAGTTCTCTTACATCTAAGGTTTCAACTCGCTAAAAAAAAATTTGACAATAATATATACATATAAGATTATAAAAAAAATAAATAAGTACAAATACACTTTTTATGCTTACTCCGTCAATCCATTTCGCTTCCATAGCACCATTCCATTCTCCATTAATAACAAGAAATGGTTTTTTATCAGCTGGTTGAGTAACGTGACAAGTAATTTTATTGCGTTTTCCACCATAAAAAGGCTTTGTTAAAAATTCAACAGTTGCTTGATATCCAGTTTGTGGACAATTTATAGTGGCCGTTCCTCCTAATTCTATCCAAGGAACGGTAAGAATTGATCTGCCATAACCATTTGGAAAAGTTAGAACGTATTCTTCACCGTGTTCTAATACATTTACCCAACCCTTTCCAATATTATGTACTCCTATGCTGAGCCCCAGAAATTTACTTTTTGTCCATACATGCGCGGAAAAACTTATTTTCTTTGCATAATGTTCAGCGTAAAATGCACTCACTGCAACACATACACATATTTTTATAAATAGAAGAATAAATAAAATGACTATATAAATTAATTATAAATTATACCTGGAGGATGATGAGAAACTTGCTCGGCAATAAAAGACAATTGATTTTCTTTACACCATGGAACTGGCCCATCTGCTACACACTTTGTTTCAATATTTACATCGTCTGTACAATTTTCACTAACAAGATTCCAATGACACCGGAAGATTTCACCCAAAATAGGATTGTATGGTTTCTTAGCTACACCAGATCTACGGCCAGCATGGAAACTGCATAAATACCAGCGCACTACTTGGACCATTCTTTCTCTAGGCGTAGGCATATCTGCAATGCTACGATTTTTGAATATTAATTAATATTACTTTTTTTACAAATACTTGTACAATATTATCCCTTTGAGTGATAAATCATTTTGGCCATAGCACTTTGTAGGGACAGAATACTTTATTGCTAGTACGATTTCCATTGATCAATACAGCTTATAATAAATTATAATCATTATTCTTCCAAATTAAATAACACAAGAAAGTTATTTCTTAGCATAATTTTGATGCAATAAGATTAAAAACAATTATCAATACGCCTAACTGACATTGCATTCTTTGCATTCGTATCAACAAACATGTATTTGCATCTATATCACTCAAAGGATTATTCTTTGAACAAATCATATTTATATATATATATACCTTACAAACTGATCTGGATGAGTAAAATAATCTGCATACATTTCAAGAAGCGATCTACGTTCCAAAATAAAGGTAGGCAATGCAACTTTGGTTAGATCCATACCAATTTTGACTTGTGACAAAAGATGTGTCACAACAGATCCATGACTTTCCATGGAATCCACTAAAAAAGGAAGATGATATTTTGAATTTTAACAAATGTTTAAATATTGCATATACAATATGTTTGAAAATTAAAATATACTAACCTTCTGTGTCGCTCTCTTCCTCGTACAAGGCTGCGGATACACACATTTTGTTATAGAAAAAAAAAATAATAAAACAATTATAATATTTAGACATCAATAAGATATTTTCTTATCATTTTGGTTTGTTAATAAGTCAACAATTTAATATACATCTATATATATGCATATATATTCATTAAATATTTCTTATCAACTTAACCTCGCATTTGGAAAGGTAAATGCATAACTTACTATTTATATCTACGTTCAACATATTGTTTTTGTAGAATATACCAACTAGTATCCATTCCTAAAAACTCTCACTTCTGTCAAAACCCCAGTTATGGTTGAATTAAAATACTTAGTTGTATAATAATTTGATCGTATATTGAACTAATATGAATAAAACTTTCATATAACTTTGTATAACAATTTGTTATCATGTTTTGCAATATTCCAATTTAAATTCAATTGTTCTTTACAAATTTATTATTAAAGTTCTTGGAGAAAATCGACTATCTACAACACAGTGTTTCATATATTATGTGAAATACTATCTAATCAATAATCACTGCGATCGGTAAAGTCAGTTACTACAAATCTGTGTTATCGACTATTTAAAACACATCCTACCGAAATAGTACATTCATTACGAATTTGGTAAGATTTTTTGGACAAGAAAATACTTACTACACTACTTTTTTGTTTAATTTTCACAATATATAAAAACAAATTTGATAGCATAATATTTAATAAAAATATATATGTATGCAGGAGCAGATAAAAAAAAATATATATACTGTAAATTCAATTTTACTTCTATATTTATTTTCTTCTATTATATTGTAAAAAGAAAATAATAATTAATAATTAAAAAGTACTTACCATCGTAATCTACAGAACCATCTCCCTTAACAGGTGGTAACGGAGATTGTTTACGCATATCTCCAGTAATGTCTCCAATTGATTGTAAACGATCACTTTCTCGTCTTCTACTATATGGTGTTAATACAGTATAATATTAAGTAATTTATTATACACATATCCTTCGATTATTTTGTTAATATAAAAAAATATTATCCAATTAAATTTGTTTACTGATCTTGGATAACAATATAAAATAAATATACTTACAGTGCGATATAATTTTGTGCTGCCAAGGGAGGTGACAATTCATCAGCAGCATCATAATAATCTTCATCTTCATCCGATGAAGAATATGAAAACTGAGGTACTGGTAAGTCTCTATTATCTACAACTAAAACATAATGAAATAAATTTAATGATTTTTATAAATGTAATAATTCAATATTTTTAGATATAAACAAAATAATATATCAACCATTGGATAAAGTTGGTATTCTTGATTCTGTACATTCTGAACCCAATTCAATACCAGTTTGTACTGTTGATTCTGGTTCTATAACCGCAACTATAAATATTTTAGAAATTAATATTGAATAAGTCATAATAAGTTTACACGAACATATACCATGATTTATAGGTGGTGTAGAATTCATTGTATCGGTAGAAGGTCCTCTGTATATGCCGTTAACAGGAATAGCTGTATTCTGAAATGATTAATAAGAACATGAAGAGTTTTATTTACAAAATAAATATAATATATATATAATAATTATAATACTTTTGCAATTTGTAGTTGGACAATGGTATGTTTTACAGAATTAAGCATTGCATTTGCTTGCATCAAAATTGCAGTGTAACTTTCTTGTATTTCTTCATTTTCTGTTTCAAGACTTTGTTGTTTTGTTTCAATTATTTTAATTTGATCAATTAACAGTTGGAGATAAGCATCTGCCTCTGCCACCTTACGATTGAAATCTTGTTTGGGCGGTGATTTTTTTGGATCCCATCGCTAGATTCCATAAATCATTTTCTTACATATTTGTATACAATAATAAATTACCCAACAATAAAATAATATGTATGTAATTATACCGCATGTGAGTGACGCAATATTGTATCTTCTAGAGCACGAACCCAGCATTCACGTTCCTCACCATTACGTGTTTGGAAATGAAAGGTTTTAGGATCATCTTTGTATGATGACGTAGTTATGGTAAATGTACTATCATCTTCATCATCGATACCTATAATTGCACCTCTTAATCTAACACATCCTCTACGAGCACCACGCATCATTTTTTCTTTACTCTACAAATAAAATGCGTTTAGATTTTAGTTTAATCAATTTTTCTTTCTCTCATTTAAATCTAATTTAGTAAAATATTGAGCAACATTATATTTAGTAAAAAAACGAAGAATTATGACAATGGTTTATTCAAAAATATGTTCCTAGCATAAACATAGATCATTATTCTAATTATAATAATACAACTTTAGATATTGTCAAATATGTCAATTTGTGTCATGGATAATGAAGCAAATAGTATAAAAATCTTAATTAAATTATTTATAAAGCCCGCGAATATATGTAACAAAAGGTGTAACACCTGTAAAGTAAAGCAATCAATTTCCTAGCTTTTATGTTAATTTTAAATAATACTTACAGTATAATACGATAATAAGCCAGCGTTATCGTCTAAAACAAACCACCGATATTGCCAGCCATTAACAACATTTGTCCATTTACTAAGTGAACCCTCCATTGTCGACATTGTTTGTTTCTTGATGATTATGATTGTGTTGTGTGTGTGTGTATGTATGATAAAATTTATAGAAAAATCAGAGTGGAAACTCGCAGATATAAAGCCTGCAAATAAGTTCTAATCTGTCACGAATGATTCCATTCGCAAATAACAAATATCAAACACGATCGAATGCACACATACACATTTGTATTTACATGTCAACCCAAGAAGTATAAACCAAATATCAATTTTCAATATTTATTACTTATTATTTTTTTCATTATGCATTCATAAATTTTCTAAATATATAAATATTTTAACTTAAGAAAATATTTGAGTTATTAAAATCATCGAAGAAACATACACGAATTATCTCACTATCATTTAATTGAATGATATTCAATTTTATTTCTTGACAGAAGGTTAAGGTCTTCTTTTCACGTTGATAGTAGTAGATACATTTGAATGATGCTTAGATAATTTTGAGCAAATTTGTAGATAATTTTTTGTAGCATTGCATTAATGCGACATCTGTGGGCTATAAATTCAAGTAGGAATTGATGAGCCGCCATGTTGTCTATCTATTTAATAACGCATGTCATTACAAACAAAACAGACAAGTGTTTTATTTGGTGCAGATTTATTTAATTTATTTTAAATTATTAATCATACATTTTTTGTTTACGGGAAATATTGTTTTATTTAAATTATTAGAAAGTTCATTTGAATAAGCATTATGAGTTCTGAATTAGTTTTAGGTATTCGATCGAATTCACAAATTTTGACAACCATTAAATTACGTGACATTAATTTAAACAATAAGGTTGAATATTTAAGATACAAGACTGCAGCAAAAGCTAATTTAGCCAAGGAATCGTTTGGTGAGATTATTCATTCATTTTTAATTTAAACCATTTATTTTTATAAACGTTTATTATTTAATAACATATTATTGACCAGAACTCATATATTGCGGATGTATTTTGGAAGACGACATGTACCTGGAAACTTGTGGTCTTAAAAGCGGTGCAATGGTACATGTTTTAATGAAAAAGGAAGAAGAACCTCCAGTACCAATGAAATATATATCAGAAGAAAGTATTCTACAGTTGGCTTCTACATTTAAATCTTTTAATGAAAATCCTGCATTTAGAAGTGCTTTACATGTAATTATCAATAATATAATACAGTAGTTTAATTAAATATAAATAAGTAAAATTAGACGCTTATATAATGTATTTTAGCGTTTGAGTAAAAGGCCAGAAGTTATAGAAAACATTATTTCGTCATCTCCTGGATTACACGAAGACTCTGTTGCAATTGCTATGTTACAAGATCCTGATCTTATGGGTCATTTTACAGATATAGATACCATTAAGAGGTAAGATTCTTACCAATACATCTATTAGGTTGTCCCATAAGTTCCTTCCTTTTTTTTTTAATGCGACTTCAATAGACGATATGTGTTGTTTAAGGTTAATTTACTGTGTTATGTATTAACCGTTCTGCTCTATTATCTTCTTCCATCTCTCAGGAAGCCTCATTATGTTCTAATAGTCGTAGTACTATTCCTATAAACGATGCAAATCTCTTCTGCAGTGTCCTTTGCACTATTACCTTTTTTAAAGCAATGAAACATAACATGCTGCAAATGCTTCTTTTGGCTATCCATATTAAACGGCGTAGAACAAGATTTTAAAAGAGACTTTGTCGCCAACAAAATGTACTTCGAAAGAGCTGTAAGACGACTGAAATCGATGCCATAAATGGACCTGGAAATAGATAAACCTGCATGTCTACAAACATAGTCGGCTCGAAATCATACATAGCGTGACGCGGAAAGAACTTATGGGACAAACTAATATATATACTTTGCTAGTATATTAGATCACATAACGTTAATATGTTCATTATTAATTAATTTAATTGCATTATAGAATTGCTGAATTACATCCAGTACTTGTAGAAGCTGCACAAAATTTAGCTGCCGCTGTACATGAAGAAGCGCATAACAACGCCACAACTAGTTCTAATTCAACCATGTTGAATACACCCCCTACTGCATACTCTTATAGTTTAGATAATTTAAGCGACGATGAGGAAATGGCTGGAGATTCTTCACAATCATCGGATTCTACTCAACCATCGAATTTAAGTGCTAATCCATCTAGTAATATTACTGCGCGAATTGCAGCTGCTATTTCAAGAGCAGGAAGCCGTGCCTTTCCATTATCCAACTCTCCGTCTTCTACATCGGCTAGTAGTACAAATTCAGGTGTTATAACTACTGAAATGTTTACACAAGCTATGCAACAAGCATTTGCAACGACACCTCCACCTACAGCTACAACAGCTCCAACTTCTTTATCGCCGATATTACCTTCCACACTTCCAGATTCTGTGGATTTACAAAGACAGTTAGCACAAATGCACGAAATGGGTCTTCAAGATGATAATACCAATGTGCAAGCATTGATATTAACAAATGGCAATGTACAAGCTGCGATCGAACTTGTCTTTAATAGTTTTAGTGATAATTAATAATAAAAATTCGCTTATTATGATGACCAATAAGGAAGGCCTCTACTCTCATAAACTTTCGAAGGTATTTTTTGGTGGTTAATAATAGAATTATATAAAATTGTGAAAATCGAGCTCTTTCTCAAAGACTGTGTTTTTGTTATTTATTTCTATTTTTGTTTAAATTATCCAATCGAGAAATAAATTTTATTAGTAATAGGGAAATTGTAAAATATATATATATATATATATATATATAATAATAATATACTCGATATATTTAGTTGCAATAAAAAATAAAGTTACATATATAAATATTACAAATTTATTTATTGTACGTTTTGAAAAAAAGAAATTAGATATTTGCATATGTTTCTTTAATCGCCTACATTGTTCTTGAAACACAGATAATAATATGATATAATTGAAAAAATGAATGAACGTTAGTCAATGTGGGAAGAAAGCTAGCAGACTGATTTTAACTTTCAGTGTGTGATATTTATGAGCGAAGTAGTGTAGGATATAATACTTCAGTTCTCGAGTTCGTGTGAGTAACAAAACTAATCGTATGGTAGGGATGATGGTAACGCGCAGCTGTGGTGGTAGTGACAATGATGATGGGGGGGTAGTAGTAACGGGATATTTGGTGGAGAGAGGGTAACTGCTTACCGCGCTTGTAGCGGTTGTCAGTGACAGTCGAGCTGTCGCGGCGTTAGGATTCGTTGTAGGAGTTACTCGATTTTTTTTTTGAACGAGAAAAGCGTCCGTTACACCCGGCACCCGGTTCGAGTACGCGTGTATATATGTTCAATAGAAATAATCGCACGTGTATAAAGAGGGAGATATATACGTGATCGTGTCGACATTTATAACGGAACTCTTCGTAAAGATCAGATCTAGACGATCTCGATAAAAAGGTACGAATTAAAGGTGAAGAACATAAAAATTATATTTGCATATCGAAAGAGAAGGTTATATAGTAGTAGTAGTAGTAGTAGTAGTACCGTCTGTATTCTGTTAATTGTATTGTTATTAATACCCGTAGATGTACATATATGTTTAGATATAAATAGACTACATTCGAAAAACTAACCGTTGTCGGAAGAGTCAAAAGCTATCATTTCTTTGATTAAATCTCTCGATTAGTTTCGAGTTTTTCTCTCCTTTCTCTCTCTCTTTCTCTCTCCTCTCTCTTTTTCTCATCGTACAAAGAATATAACCGATTCGTTCGAAAGTTTTCTTTCGTTAAAGTGACGCCAGAGCGCAGTAACGTTTTTCCCTTTCTTTATATTTTCTTTTTTTGAAATTCAACCCCTATTTGCCATATGATTTTTCAACGGGTACGCTGCACATAATGGCGAAGAATTGGCATAGTTAAGGAAGAGGGACTCTCCGTGTTACCCTCGAACTTAAGAATTGTCAAAGTTCTCTTTCTTCTTATTCTTTGTGCTCTTTCTATTACATTATTCCTACTACTACTACTACTACCACCACCACCACCACATTTCTATTGACTTCTAGTCATTGGCATTATGTAGAGAGAAGAAAGGTTCTGGAGCTATTTCTTACCTGAACTACGGAATTATTGTTCATCCCGTTCCATAAAAAAAAAAAGATGTCCTCTCCTTTAGACGAGTGTATTTTCTTTTTCTACAATCGAGCGATCATGCATTACGTATTCGGTAAACACAACGATTACGATGTTCTTGGAACGAACGATTACTATTTTCTCTTTTTCGTTCAACTCGAATTCCTCACACGTTGTAAAAGTTCAAACACATATGTTATTTTTCGAGCATGCGTTCCACTCTATTTTCAATCAGTTTTTGTATCTTTTGGTAGGCTAACAGACATTTTAAATGGAAATGATCTTTCCTCGATGATTTCATTTCAATTCAATTCTTAACATGATTTAAATCGATCATTTATTATCCTTGTTGACTGTAAATATATTTGATAACGCATATTCGATTCGCGATAAGATTATTTGTACATATTTCTACATGCATGGATTGACATAAGAGCAAAAATTATACATTAACATAATAAAGAAATTTCGTTGATTTTTGAATGCGTTAAACTGTCAATACACATCACGAGGTCGTCATTAAAATATACAAATGGTTAATGAATTGGCGACAAGAGAAATGCAAATAGAAAACGTCTTGTTTAATTTAATTAAATCGAACATTGGGATTTTTATTTATATATGCACACATATATTGGATCATACTGGAACAATTAATATTATTTTAATCATTTTTTTAAAACTTTTCATTAATTCAATTCTATTTATTCTAATTTATATTTATATGAACGTACCCTGTTCTCTCTCTTTATTTGTCTCTTAAAAATCTTACAGAAAATTCATTTATTACACAGTCAAAAAAGAAGAAGACGTAGTTTCATTTATTTCGAAATAAACTAAAAAAATGAGATAACGACACGTTAATACACTTACGTTGAATTAATTTGATCGGTTAATTAGATTAGATTCGGTTTTAAGGATAAAACTCTTAAATAATGTTAATAATAATAAGAAATATATGTTGGACAGAGTAAGATGAATCGTGTTAATTAAAGGGGATAGTTAATTCGATTTGATTAAATGAGTCTCGCATTAACGTGCCAGAAGAGAGTAATTATGCATCCTGGCAAATAAACAAGTATAATTTCCTAATTGTCTATAAGTCAGGCGGTACTCGTTTTAAGTATGTAATTGTGATTAACGGCCAAGGGCAGAACGAACGATTGGATGTCGATCGATTTTGCTC